ATAAGTTTAACGAAACGCAATACATTTTTTCATGTGAAAACGCATACATTTTTTCCTGTAGGAAGCTAAAACCAATTGCATGAACTTCAATTATTTGAAATGGTATAAAGAACATGGAATGATCTTTCAAGGTAACAATTTGATAACATGTAAATGGGAAGAAAAAACTGATGGTACGGAAATAATACCGAATGTTTATTACGGTGTGTGGTCTCCCCGAATTGCTAAGATTGCCGCACAACTATTTTGCATGACTGCGATGAGGTTACCAATGACACTTTGGGGAATACTGTTCCACTCTTGACGAAATGTAACAAGAGACCAAGAGTTAGAGCCCAACAGTAACAAGAGACCTTGCTCTTGCAGCAACGCGTCGTCCGAGTGCGTCCCAAGCAGACTCGATCGGATTAAGATCAGGAGAGCATGCTGATCACTCTGTACGTTAAATTATTTGAGCTTCAAGAAAGTTCTCCACAAGACGAGCTGTGTGAGGTCAGACATTATTCTGCATTAAAAGAAAGAAATCACGGACGGCTGCAGCGTAAGATACGACATGGGGTCTCAGGATCTCGTCTGCGTACCTTAGAGTCGTCAAATTGGACGACCATGTCCTGGATGACGTCAAACATGTCCAGTTTCTCGGAATCAATTCCAGTCTTACAATCACACTTCTTGCTACTTAAAAGAGTTCATTACACTTTTTTGTGTTTGTCTGGATTCAAATCTCCTGATAAATATGCCTAGTTATGAATTCTGGTAGATCACGTTGTTGTGACATTTTTAAGTTTTCTCAAAGCAAAAGTTGAAAGGTTAAATTTTACCGTTGAGATAACGAAAGACAGCAGCTTCTGCCAAATCAAGATTTCTGCACTTAAATCGTTTTTCTGGTTCCTGTCGTCATGAACTTTTATTTGCCTATAAAAGTTTCTTCTACTGTTTTCTGCTATACTTAAGACTATGGATATTGAATTCAAAACTTTGTTTTTTCATAATGTTGTTCTAAATCGTATTTATAGAAAAAGTCTGATTTGAATATTTTTAAAATGCAAAAAGTCTAATTCAATTTTATAAATAGCTTTTGCACTTTTTCTTAAAAAAGAAAACTCAAAATGCTAGGGAGTTTTCGACAAGTTTCATTTTGTTTCATAAAACAAAATTTAATAGCAAGTGAGAATAACCTATAATGATTGCCTGGACAACAAATTGTGATGGTATCAAGATAGAAAATAAAATATATTTAAATAGGAGATGGTTCTTTTAATGCCGATGTCATTTTTAATAAATCTTGTTTAATAATACACAATAAAATATGAGCAAAACCCCTTACCATTCCAGAGCTTTCTTCCAAAAATTTTTTTAAAAAAAATTTAAAAAAAAAACCGTAGAAAATTGGTTGACGCTTATTAAACTTTCAAGATATTCAAATCGAACTTTTTTCATATGTTACCAAATACGATTCAAAATAAAATTATTAAAAATGAATAAATAAATAAATATATATTTTCTGCTCATGCGTAGTAGGAAAAAATTTCTTTAAATACTAATATATTGCGGAATTTTAAATGAAATATTTCAAATTTTAAAATGATGCTTTTGTCAGTAATTAAAAAATACTCTAAGAAATTGTTTACTTCTTCTTTTAAATATTTTCCTAATTATAGTAAGAAAACATAAGACAACAAATGTTCATTTTCTTATGAATATACAGGATGAGTTTGAACAAGACGGTAAAAATTTACTAGGTTTTATATAGCATTTAAAATAGGAAAAAAAACTTATAAAAAATTAAAAAAAAAAAATGAAAATTAATAAACTAGAAAAAATAACAACGAAAATATATAGTCTCGTAATCAGCCTACTTAGTTATATTCGCGAAAATAGAGCTTTTTAATATTGTATTAATATAGCCATAGCAAACAATTTCAATACAATTAATATAAAAACATATAATTTAAGTCACGTCAGTCATGCTTAATTTATGGACAAGTATGTTTAATTGTTATGCTATCCCTTTATTACATGTGATCTGGAATACTTGAAAGATTTTTCCTTAGGGGATATCTCTCGTTAAAAAACACATTTATTACAATTTTGCTGTTATATAT